CCTCAAAAAATGAGAAATTTTACATTTTAATGTAGATTTAAATAAGGATTAAACCTTTAAGCACATGAATTATGTTATGATTTACAATGAGGTAATTATAAAATTTAAATATTCCCATAGAAATTAACAATGTAACATCAAACCAAATATAAGTGCCCTTTCATATACTTTATAAATTAATTAACTTTTATGGGCCCATGTTGGCCACAAGTTTTAAAGGGAAGCCCGCTAGAGTCCTATCTACAGCCCACTAGCTAAGCCCTGTTATAAAGTTTCTTTGGCTCGGAGAATTTGCAGTCCCAGCTAGTTCAAAATAGAAAAATATTTTTCTCCTTAATAATTATATATATATATATACCTCATTTCTTTTTGAGTTAATTTTTTTTCAATTAGTTTTTAAAAATTTGATAGTTATTTAATTAAATATTTAAATAATTAAGTTATAGATTTTTTTAAAAATTGGATTTAAAAAAGTCAAATAAAAATAATATAATAATCACGTGAATTGAAATCTTGAAAGTGACCGTAAATTTGCTATACCATCACTTTCAAAAAAAAATAAAGAAAGAAAAGGAGACTTCATATTGAAATAGTGGAAATATAATTAAAATTATAATCAAGAAAATTACTTAAATCGTATGCATCCTGATAGATAAATTCGAGACACCATCGATTCTTTTAAGGTTTTAGATTCAAATCTTAAAATCGATAAATGAGTTTTGATTGTTCATAAATCATAAATTTTTATATTAAAAAAATTCCATTATCATCACATAAAAGTTAATAAATTTTAACTTTATTTTTCTTGTTTCAATTTCATTATGAATGTATCTTTATAGATATGTAAATGTCACAAACCCGTATTTACAATCTAAAAAATATTTTATCTCAAAATTCATTTTATCTTTTATTGATATTACACTTACTCTCATGTCTACAAAAAATCACCCTGAACATAGCCTTAACAAAAAAAGGTTAAACATCCTTGAAATAACATGTAAATTCCTTAAAAAAAAAGAAGCTTTGGTCAAGGTCATAAAGAGCAAAGGCATACATACCTGTCCACCTAACAACACCGAACAATGATGAATTCACATAGAAAGAACAAAAAGCTCATGAAACTTTGAATGGAAATGACTTTGAAAAATAAAAAAGGGTTTTCTCTTTATTGCCTTTTTGGCTAAGAAACCTTGAATAAAGGGTTTACAAGAAAACCTTTGAAAAGTAGTTCACTCGAAGTTTCAAAGAGTTTGGGATTGTGTTAAGGAATCACATCCATGGTCAAACTCTCATTTTCTTTTGTAAATGAATAAGAGAGAAAAAGTCTTTGTAAACGAGTGGTGGGCACTACAACATTTTCCAAAGTCTATAGCAATTTGTTCCATGTGATGTGTAATGTGTCTTTTCATTCAAACTTTTTTCTCCATGTATCATTCAAAACCATTACTTAGTTTTATTTTACATGAATTGACTAATTAATAAGTCCGTCCGGTTGTCTCCACTGATATAAAGAAATTTAACTTTAAATCATCTTGATAATCTTTTATTGACATTAATTTTAAATTCACGACTACGACATTTATTTTAAATCTTTAAAGATTAAATGACGTATTCATATCGAATCGAAATGTGTTATTTTTTATATTTCAAAACAAAAATATTTTCTTTCCATGGAAGGATCTGTTCAAAAAGATTACAAAAACTTTAGTCATTCAACCAACGTTGACAAGTCATTGTAATGATATCATTTTCTGTTTCAGAAATTGCTTTGACTTTTATTGGGTGGTTCATCAACCATATATACAGTGTAAATTGACGGTCAAACTACTCAAATTAATGGATGCTTGAATCAATTTCACGATTGGAATATTTGATTAGATTCAAGATTAGGCAAAGTATTGTAAACTTTAAATTGATTTTATTTCTATGCATATTTCGTCTTTTCTTAATGTGAATTTTAGCAATTGTGATTAAGTAGACGTAATTCGTATATAAATAAATATGAATGATACATAAAAATAAGATCACCCTATATTTGGCTTCTTCAAAATTCGAATTTAAATCTGAAAATATATTGTTATACGTGATATCACTAATAAGTGATATGTAAGTTAGATAAGGAGATCATAGAAGGTAAGTAATAGTAAAAACTGTATTTATAATTAAAAAATAAAAACATGATATAAAAAAATTGAATTATTTACAAAAATTTAAATAAGTCTTGATTCTTTTATTACATTCAAATAAATTTTTATATTTTTATTTTAAACTTAATAAACTTTTATAACTAACGATTCACTAATTCTTGTTTAGTCAAAACGTTATTAGTTATTTTATGTCACATAATACTGACGTGACATATTAACATATCATATCGTATGATAATATAATATGTTATTATGACATAAAACATGATAACGTGTTATATTTTACTTTTTATAACGATTTTATGTTAACATCATATAAATATAAAATAATAAATAATATTTTAATAAATAATAATTAATTAATTATTAATGATAAAATCTTATTTGATAAAAAATAAAAATATAAAAATTTAATTAAATATAAAAAATATTATTTAATTTTTTTAAATAATTCAAAAGCTTGAATTCATGAATAGTGTCATGATTTTTTTTTTTCAAAATAAAAGGAATTCTTCTTCTATAATTATTTATTTGCTTTAATAATTGAATCAATTCAGTGACGATATTTTGATCACATAGCATCTTAATTTATTGGTTGTGGGTTTAGATTGTTTTGAGAGTCGAATTAAAGCTCCAAATCTTTTAAAATATTGAAATATATGACATAATGGTCGGTTTGATTATACCCTTTTGGATTATATTAATAACTTTTAATAAAAAACACAATTATTTCAACAGATAATTAAAAATTTAAAAATTATAATAACCAAGTTGTCTACAAGCATATGCATTACTCCACACGTCCATAATCACAATAAACAAAAACTATAAGCAAAATATACTAAAAAATCATGTGCCTGCAAAAAATATTTTATTTTAATTATAAACTTGCATTTATATATTCACTAATAAATAACATAAGGAATCAAAATTATATTGTATGATTGCTCCCAAATAAAAATTCTAAATTCGAATTATAATATAATAAAATATAGGATTTTATTAATTAAATATTACTACTAAAATAAATTAACTTGGTTTTTGATTGATTTGACGGCCTATGAAGTTAAATTTCCGGAAACACGACCAAACACAGCCTTAAAAGGGACAAGAGGAAGAAGACACGAAAGCATGCGAAATTTAGAAAGTTGATGACGTGTTCGATAAAGACGTGGGCCACATTGTTCATGTATCATGACTCGGATTTCGAAACGCGTGCCACGTTTCGTGTTTGATGGGAATATCAAGGATATCAATCAGCGCGCGTGTCAACCACTCGACCATACATGGTGCCCCATGCTTTTGGAATATTCTTCGCCCTTTCTGTCTTTTCTTTTTCTTTTCCTTTCCTTTCTTGTATTTCTTTTTCTTTTTAATAAATAATTTAATTATATTTCTAAAGAAAAAAATAATTTTCAATCTATGGGTTGATTTAATTAAAAAAATTTTCATTTCAATAATAAGTAATATTCAAATTTTATTAATAATTTCTCTTAATAAATCTCGATAAGATACAATAAATCTTTTTTGAATTTTAAAATTAAAGAATTTATATACCCAAAATTTTTAACATCAACAAGACAATTTTGTTTGAATTAAGAATTTTAATAAAAAAGTAATTACACTTAAGTTTAAGAAAATAAATATGAATTATCATTCTTCCTTTGAAATGAAAGGATTAGATAGAATAAACAACCGAAACTCTTAACCCTAACACTTAACCGTATGAATAATGTTAATATGAGAAATTTAATAGATATATGATGTAAAATTACAAAAATAAACACAAAATAAGATATTAAATTGAGACAACAGATTTTTATTCATGAAATATATGATTATATTAAAGTTTAAAATAATGTTTTTGTTGTGATTTAAATTGTGAAGTATATGAATTAATTATATTATTAATTGACTTCAACTATATAAGTTACAATCCTTTGATTCAAAATTCAAAATGGCTGTTGCTTTAATAACTCATTAATTGTGGTATTTTAAATTTAATTAAATACGTTTGGTGCTTTCCTATTTATCAAATTTTAAATTTGGTTAACGGTACAAAATTGTTGGGTAGTTGAATTCTAAAGCTAAAATTTAAACTTAAATATTCACCAATTGATTGCACAAAAAATTCCAACACTTTAAACAATTAAGGATTATACATAATACATTTTTAAATAAAACGATATATTATTCTACTTTACTTTTATATAAATAACTATTTATATGTTAATAAATTTATAATAATTTTGTAAAAAATAAAAATGATGCAAAAATTGAAATTGTAAAATAATTTTCTCTTTTTGTAAAAATGGATAATTCTAATTTATAATTGATGTTATGTTTTAATTATTTATCTATTTTAACCAAATTTTAGTTTTAAAATTTAATTGTAAAATAATAAAATTATTAAAATAACATGTTCGAATTATAATTATGTGTCATGTATCAATAAATTTTTTATATTAACATTAATTTTACCGTTAAATTATATTAATTTTCTTTAAAATAAAAAGAAATCAAAACCTACAGTTGTTTCCTTTTTTTTTAATTTAACCTTAAAAAAACCTGAACCAAATAAATTTGTCACAACAAATTAACTTCCATTTTTCTTATCGCAGTAAAAAGTTAAACCCAACAATATGTACGCTGTTAAAACCCCACCCGCCAGGTAATTAACTTCACTAATCCCCCATTATAAGCTTAATCCACGTAGTTTTTAAACATCGTTTTAAACTATCCAATGGAAACAATCCACGTGTGCAAATTACAGCGTAGCCACCACGCTAACGCGGCTTTCCTGTTAATCTAACCTTTATATATAAAAATAAATTATTCTTTTCTCTTACAGTTTATCAAACTTTTTCTTCTCTCATTTGTTTCCGGTACCAAGCAGCGGAAAAGAGAGAAAATGTTCACTCATTTCGAAAAATAGTTTTCTTTTTTTCCTCCTTTTATAATTTCTTTTGTTTTGTGTCTTAGATCTGAATTGACGAATGGCGACGACGACCTCGTCGTATTGGTGTTACCGATGCAACCGATTCGTCCGGATTTTTAACCAAGATCCGATCAGTTGCCCCGGCTGCGACGGTGGATTCGTAGAAGAGATCGAAAACCCGTCTCACACAGCGCGTACGGTCCAGGCCGGTTCCCGTCGCTTTGGCAGCCACAGGTTCCCAGCAGCCTCGATGTACACTAACACTAGTCCTACCACCAGCACCATCCTCCGCCGTAGCCGTCGTAACGGGGGCGATCGGTCACCTTTCAATCCCGTCATCGTCTTACGAGGTGGAGCCTCTACCGCCACATCCTCCGCCTCCGGGGAAAATTCAAATGTTGAACACAACGGGAGAGGGTTTGAGCTTTACTATGACGACGGAGGGGGGTCAGGTCTTCGGCCGTTACCCCCGAGTATGTCGGAATTTCTGCTAGGTTCGGGGTTTGACCGATTGATTGAGCAGTTATCACAAATGGAAATCCAAAACGTCGGCCGTTACGAGCAACCGCCAGCGTCTAAAGCGGCGGTAGAAGCAATGCCAACGGTGGAGATAGACGAAACCCATGTTTGCAACGAATTATACTGCGCAGTTTGCAAAGAGCAATTCGAGTTGGGAACCAAAGTTCTAAACATGCCTTGCAATCACTTATACCATTCTAACTGCATACTCCCTTGGCTTCAGTTACGAAATTCATGCCCCGTTTGCCGGCATGAGTTGCCCGCCGCAGTCGGCGAAGAAGGGAGCGAAAGCGGTGGCGCGAATTTAAATTCGTCCGAGGAGGTTCCGGTGGGATTGACTATTTGGAGGTTACCGGGCGGAGGGTTCGCTGTGGGGAGGTTTTCAGGGGGAAGAAGAGGAGGAGCAGGGGAGAATAGAGAGTTTCCGGTTGTTTATACGGAAATGGATGGTGGTTTTAGCGGTGGAGGGTTGCCGCGGAGGGTTTCGTGGGGGAGCAGAGGGAGTAGAGGGAGGGAAAGAGGAGGGTTTTTTGGAAGGCTTTTGGGAAATTTGTTTGGGTGTTTTGGTGGTTCAAGTTCTGCTCGGTTGGATTCAAGGATAAGTAGAAGTAGTAGATCTCTTTTGCTCTTTACTGCTTCTTCAAGGAGAAGAAGAGGTTGGGCTGTGGAAGTTGATAGTGGAAGAAGAAGATGGTAAATATTTTGAAGCCCAAAGATTGTGAGATCCTCAAATCATTGTAAATATTAAGAAAAATTATGAGATGGGGTGTTTTCCAATTCACAATATTTTGTCAAGAATTGATGGTTTTGTGAATTGAAGAGAAAGGTTCAGACTTTGATATAATTGAAGGGAAAAAGCAAAGAAGGAGACGGAAGCTTGAAGCCAGAGGCTTTGAAGGGAAAAAATGTGCTAGATAGAGAGCTAGAAGGTACACGGCTCATTGTACGTCGGTGCCTCTGTACTTTGTTTAATTTTTAGTTTTGCGCTGTTTTTTTTTTTTTCCTTCATTATTTGTAATATGTAGTTTGCTGTCTTTGATTCTTTTTGGCAAGAAATTAGCATAAAATTTTGTTTGGAATATGAATGAATAACTCTGTGTTACATAATTTGGTTCTTTTAGTTTGAATGTTCCTAGCAAATGTCTTGATTCTTGAATCCTTTCTGAGCTGCTTTTGGTGTTCTTGAGGGGGCGATGCAAGGACCCAATCCTTAATTCATTATGAACTGTGTTAAATCTAGCTAGTCTTTGTGTTTAAAATTGTGTTTTTTGGACTCCACTTTTCATTAGTTTTTGCCAGTGCCTTTGAGTTTGGGGTTGCAGAACATCAATGACTTCCTAGTTCTTCAATGTTATGCCTTGAGGTGTTAAAAATATGTCAGCTGTGGGGAGGAAATGCTGTTTAAGTGCAATGAAGCAATTGGTGGGAAATCATGTGATATATACCTTTTTATCTCTAGTACTACCGAAAATTTATTAAGTTTGAATGATTATTAATTGAATATGGTTGAATCAGTCTTTGGACCAAAAAATGAAACTGAGTTGATAGCTGAATAGATGATGCAGAAAAGAAATCTAGAATCCTGTCATCCAACAAACCTTTGGATTATAATTTGTTTTGTGATTAATGCTGTGATTGAAATGAGCTGGTTTTTGGTCTACCTGATTTAGATTTGGGTTTGGCTTCCATCACTGCATTAGATAGGCAGTGGGATAAGCTAGTGTTTGATGAGCTTTGCCCCAACAATTGGAAATTCTGATCAATTATGAGGTATTGCTGTATCTGTGGGGGCTCCTAAAGTATTAGTATTAGTAGAACAATTTGCAAAGCCGTATAAGATCTGAGTGAGACCAGAGAATCAATCAGGGTCATATAGTCAGTCATGGCTTAACTGTAATGTCAGTGCATAACTTGATTCTAGCTATTGTATTATCTTTTCTAAGAGTAATGACAAGTTGACATTACGGTCAAAAGAAACAATTCATTGGGAAGCATGAAAGTTGAATTATTGCACATGGATAAGATGTACCAAGTACTTCCTCAGTTTGCATCCTTGCTGCTGTTTGCCAACCATGATAAACTTTCTGAAAACACCTTCCTCCGACCTTTTTAAACACTTTGTTCTGAATATGCACTAATATAAGCCACAATATCCTTGAATTAATATGGAATAGGATTTGGTACAATAAATGATCAGCAGCTTAAACAGAATAAAATTTTATAACTGTATTTTCTCGAGCTACAGGCAGATATTTTAAGGGTATGAGAATGGATTGGCAGCTGTCACCCACCAAGGAAAAAAAAAGGCTAAATTTTCTTTGTTGCTGGATGATAGTGATCCATGCAGCGTGATGGATGTGTGGGCAGGTTTGGTTTGTTTGTTTTTTTTTTTCCTTCTTCTTTGATGCTTAAGTGATGGTAATAGTTTTGCTAGTCAAATTTTTTGCTTCCATGAAAAACAATTGGTACGAAATCTTCTCATAATAATGGAAAGCACCATCAGCAACTGAAGGAGATATGATGTGTCTCACAGATCCCCATAGGGTCGCACCAAGGTGTGCAAGGAAAGTATCCCGGGCAACTGTGTAGTTTTGGAAATCCTGCACAGAAACAACTCAATGCCAACGAACTACAAAAGTCAAGGGAAGAAATAAATTTGTATTAGACAATCAGATTACTCTCTTTCATTATGGGTCTTGCTGACTTTTCAAATATATCTGCACTTTTTGGTCAGAGATTCAAAATTTGTAAAGACTCCATTCAATGCTTAAGTTTCCAAGGGGCTACATATATAAGACAAGGGATCCCCATCCCTTGATTTTTCTCTCTTTTTATAAATTTTTCCCTCAAATTTCAAAAGCTTGACCTTCATATTAAGTCTCAATTTTCATCCTTCTGGCACAAGGGATCCTTTTGTTCACTGATTGCCTTTTCCTCTTCTCCAATTTGGGATTAGTTGTTCACTTCAACCTGAGGAAACCCCTCTCTTGGCCCAAAAAGAATGGGGTTTAAAGGCCCATATCAGCTTCAAAATAGCCCAAATTGAGCAAACCCAATTCCATCCATTCATAGCCTAGTTGATTGAAACCTAAAGAACACCTTGAATATCAGAATATGTATTTGTTTATATGATCAAATGACCAATATAATGTTGGAAGCATGCACATACATTTTGAGAAGTCATAATCAAATAGTAAAGCAACACTCTTGTCATGGAGAAAATGAGAAAAAGTAACTCAACTTTGTGAGATTGTCATTTGTTAAGCATGCCAAATTTCCAAAATGGTCCTCGTTAAATTTTCCATCTCTCCCACTATCAAACTTCCAAGTCTTTTCAATTTTGTCTTTCGAGAAAACATCTCCAAGTAGATTGTACATTCGAAGGTTTCTTTTTTTTAATGATTTTTATAAATATATTAAACACGAGAAATGCAATGTGAACTAAGGACACTCAAACCATTAAGAATTAGATGCAATTTACGTAATAATCTTAAATTTAAATCAAAGTGTTTTCGTTTTCTAAAAAACAAAATAGTCTCTAATTTATTCTCATTTCAACAAAGACATGAGGCTTAAATGAAATTTATCTGTCCAAAAATTAAAAAGAATTGGGTAAAAAAAAATTGGGTTTCTTTCACTTCAATCATTTTTCTCAAATTGCATGAAAAGAACAATTATTGCTTGAAGTTTGGTTGCTTTGGAACTTTATTCTTTTGGGTATAGGGAGGCAACAATGAAATAAATTTAAAAAAAAAAAACACTAAAGAATGGAAAACTACAAGTTAGAAAGGACATCCACTTGAAGAATCAATCCAATAATAAAGACAATGCACTTATTCCAACTCAAGGATGATCAAATTTGCACCTTGTAAAGGCTATAAAAAGCCAAAATTGACAAATAATATTCTTTCTTTCTATCATACACATATCATATCCATTTTGATGTCATTAATTAGCTATATATATATTAATATACTTTGAGGTGAGCTTTTAATTTTAATTTAGATTAATCATTGGTCATTAATTACAAATATGAAATGTTACCCAAACTGCAATTAATACCCTTTCATTTCGATACATAAAAGGAAAACAAAAACAAAAGTCTTTGTTAATTTTTATGCAATCTAATTTGCAATCTATAGTTAATACCCACCACCTAGCAAGCTTTGTGGGTCTAAATTTGATTCAAGACCTACCCTTTAACTTTAATTATGCCCCATCATTTCAATACTTAGACCAAGCTGGCTTACAAAGTTCCACCACATCACATGCATATATTAAGGTAACCCTGAGTTTAGGATATAGAAAAAAGCTTATAAATAATTAAGGTTGGAAGAGTTGGTCCAAAAGGGATAAGCACATAGGTTTAGATTATATAATTCACTACTATAGGTAATAGGTCCACAAAGGAGGTGGATTTTCCCCTCTTTTTCTTTGTCTCCTTTGATGCATGTATTTAATTCAATAATAAAATATACATATATTTAATTAAAAAGAGTTAAGTTCGAATTCTATTTAATAATATTATCCGGATAACGTCAATTATTTAAACTCGATAAGAATCAAGCAATGAAATGCATATATATGATAATGATTGATGTTGCTTAATTAACCCATTTATGATACATCAATGAAGAAAAAGTCTTAAAGATGATTACAAGGTTAATAGTAATTCAATCTCTATTATTGTCAATGCTTGGCATTGAATAAATACAAAATGTTGACATATTGCAAAGATACAAGCATATAATCAAATTATATAAAAAAAAAGATAACTAAATTTATTCCTTAAATGGACAGAACTCTTAATACAAAATATTAGCCATGCAAAGAAAATTGTTTAGTGTATGCAAAAGCTTGATTAATTGTATAGTATATGCAAAGAAAATAATGGAGCAATTCAAGACAATTTCTAGCTCAAATTTAGAGACAAACAAAGAGAATAATTTATTAAAAATTGTGAAAAATATAAGCTAATGGAGCCTTTTTTTGTGGTTGAAAAGGATGAAAGAAAGAAATCAAATGGACCATCATGGTCTAGAATCTAATGTCAAAAGGTCGACATGGATTAAATAATTAACATGGTAATGTTGGATTGAATAATCTTAATTCTTAGACATAATATTAAAAAAAATAAATTATTCAAAAATATTTAAATAATTTTTTTATTTTTTATTATATTTTTTTGAGTCAAATAAATCTTTACGATTAATAATTGACTAATTATTATTAACCAAAATATTATTTGATATACATTTTATATCATGTGCATACTTATATGTCATAATGATGACAATGTAATATGATGTCATAATCACGTGATACTTTCACACTCCACATTGACATCATGTGAGTATAAATAATAAGTTTTATTTTAATTAATGATAATTAATCATAAATGTATTCTTGACCCAAAATAAAAATTTTAAATTTTTTTTTTAAAAGACAAACTGATATTGATTAAGTGAAATGACTTGGGTACATAATGCTGCTTAAAGTCTTTAGCCTTGATTAGTAGAAGACTTTTTGCAGCCAAAAGGCCTACATATACCCATCACACATCCCTTGTCTGTACATTTTCACTAAGAACCATCATGTACCATCTTCTCCTTGCTCTAAAGAAAAATTAGAAACTTAATTGAAAAGTATTATACCTAATTTCTATGATTTAATCAATAATAATAATAATAATAATAATTAAAAAGTTCGAAGGGGATTGATAATCAAAACCCATGGGCCTTATGTCTCCCCTATACTAACAACTCTATTGATTAGAAGAAATGAAAATGATAGCGGGGGGGAGGGGGGGTCAATTTTTTGATATTGGGATTTTTCTTTGGCTTATAAAGAATCAAATTCAAATCACACTTTACATGAACCTTTATCTTCTTCTATCCTTTTCTTGGTTTTGCTTAATTCTATCCTTTGCTTGGTGACTCTTCGATTATGAAAGCTCACCCAATTCTTTTGTTTTCTTTTGTTTGACTTCTCCCTACCCTTTTGCCCATTGTGTAAGCAATACCATATATAATGCCTGCATCCAAGGATTGAAAAACCATTTATTTTGTTAGGTTTTTTTTATTTAAAATATTTTTTTTTATTTTTGA